GAGAGAGAGAGAGAGAGAGAGAGAGAGAGAGAGAGAGAGAGAGAGAGAGAGAGAGAGAGAGAGATAGAGACAGAGATATGTAGAATGTGTATTCGTAAAACCTTTACGTGAAAAACAAGTGAAGCCCCAGCTCGGTGGTTACAAACGAACGATATATTCTTTGTCTCTTTTTTATTTTATTATTATTATTATTATTATGAACTATGCGCGTATGAAATGTACTTGGTACACGTGTATATGCGCGTGTATTGTGTGTTCATTTTTCCCATCGTGGTCAGCTTCCTGGCTAACGCGATGATCTGGTGGACACGCAAATATCTCTGTTCAAATGACACGAAACGCGAGGGAACGCGTTCGTTCGCTCACGCGTGACTCCGCCGCCGTTCCGCCTGCTCTACGCGTGAAATCTTTAGAATCGTATTTATATATTAATAAAAATCGCGCGAAGATCTTTTGCCTCTCGTCTTTACAAACGTTACTTTACCTAATGGAAATTTGTACACAGTTTCCCGCAAGATTTCGTTGCCCACTAATCGTGTGAATTATACATACTCTTTCTTCGCGTCCTCAGATATGAGATACAATTTTCTCGTCGCGCTGACGGCCGCGGGGACTAACATGTATCGTTCTCGGTACGCACGGGCACGGCGCGAAAGCGCGTCTACCTGCTGTGTGTGTGTGTGTGTTTCGCAAAAGTTCCTAAGTCGCGTAGCTGGAGCCTGCGTCCAGCGGGATGGACATCGTATCCTTTCCCTCGCTCGCGCTGTCTCGCCGCACCCGCTATACTGCGCGCGTAGTACAATTAGCATTCGGTTATGTTCTAAACGAAAATATCCAACGACCTCGGCAACCGAGATATCCGTTCCGAAGCGGGGGTTACAGTCATCTTACGATAGGATTTTTACAACGATCTAACTTCCGACTACGGACGATGGGTGGTTGTTCGCACTTGTTACGCTGTTAACGCCGCGAATGAAACGCCGTTTTCCGAAATCAATTCGGGAATAACGCGCACGTTACACTTAGAGATCTACAACCCAGTCGGATCAGGATGAATGCACCGCGGCTCATATTCCACCCGCCAAGTTCATCCGAGGATGCTGCCCGATCTCCTCTCACTGAACGACGATGCAGCGACGACGATATAAAGCAACCCTGCTGATAATGGCGATAAATAATTTCACGGGAAGACGCGCCTTTTCGATCGATGCTGGAGGCGGGAATTCTGTGCGCGTAGACACATTAATAACGAGTCTATGGTTACCGGACTATTAGAAGAGCCTCCGATTATGCGTGCGCGAGAAGGGAGTTTAGCTGGTCCATTTTTCGTTTTTCGAAAGCAAGGATGCTTCCGCGGTGCAAACAAATGTGGAGTATAAAAAAGAGGGATTGCATAACGAGAGTCTGCGGTCTTCGAGGACTTGGTTGTGCTCGCCGAGCTCCTTGCGTGCTTTTCTCTCTTCTCCTTTTTTTTTCTTTCTTTACAGAGCATCTATTTTACAAGTATAACGGGGTTTACTGGATTTTCAAATTACATTTTTTGTTGGAAAACTTCAGGATTAATACATCGATGTGTGTAGTTATAATTATTACCGTGGACTATCTCTCGCGGATTTTTATCGCCGTGTGAACACGTAGAACAACCCGATTATACTCGAGCAATTATTCACTCCGTGTCGAAACGCAAGGTCGATGTTCTGCGAAATCGAGGCACGCGGACCGTCCTAAGCCCACGAGTCATTCCGCGTCGGCGTTATCGCCGTGGTGTGTGGACGTCGTGTAGACCGACAGTCCCGAGACGAACGTGCTCGTAAGAATTCTGTACATCAATGAGAACGAGTTTCGCTTCGCTCGTCCTTCGGAGCGATCGCGCGCTTATCAGCAGGACCCACCTCTGGGCTATGTCGAGATCTCGATCACCGGCTCTGCGGTGTTATTATTGAGCAGCTCCTGCTTCTCTCTCAGCTTCAGATCGTACTGCGACGGCGAGGGCGATTCTTTGGCCTCGATCGGCGACAGTCCGTCCGTTTCCTCCAATGGAGACACACCCTCCTCGCTGTCCTCGTCCTCGTCGTACTCGACCTCCATCTTGGACTCGTTACCGATCTCATGCAGCCGACTGGGAATGTAGGTCGGGTGATGCGGCAGGCCGTAGCCGCTCTCGCCGCCGTAGGTGACCTTGCCCATGAACGATCTGATCTCGTCGAAGTAAGTGTCCTCTCGCTCGTTCTCGTTACTGCTGCCGGGCGAGTCGGCGACCGAGACCACTCCGCTGCCGTCGTCGGCCTCGTGCTTCTTCAGATGCCGGTCCAAGTTGGTCTGCTGGCCGAAGCATCTTTCGCAAAGCGGACACTTGAACGGCCGTTGCTTGTCGTGGATGTTCCTCACGTGTCTTTGCAGGTTGCTCGATATGCTGAAGGATCTCTCGCAGTACTTACACTTGTACGGTTGCTCGCCGGTGTGCGTCCGCAGGTGCCTCGTCAGATTGGCCGAGCGGGGGAACACTTTGCCGCAGAACTTACAAGAATATCGATCCTTCATTTTGCCGTGGACATGGTGATGATGATGATGGTGGTGATGATGGTGCGGCGACATCACCGCCTCCTGGAACGGCTTCACGCCGGGGAACGCACTCAACGGCGGCCGGGCAAGCAGATCGAATCCTCCTCCTGGCCTAGCGCCGCTGAGCCCGTTCATAAGCGAACCTAAAAAAGGAAGCGTGCGCGGCGGGCCGAATGGCGGTAGCGGAGGTATCAGTCTGGACTCTGGAGTGGCCCCGCTTGGGGGTGGCGGCGCGCCGGGGAACCCTGGGAAGCCGGTCCCCGTTGGGCCGCGGTACATCGTCTCGAGAAACATCGGATGAATCGGTCTCGGGTACGCCATGTGCGGCGGTGTGTTGGCGGCCGGCTGTTCCGTCGGCAGGCTGGTCCTCAATTGCGGGCTGTTGGGAATTTCTTTGGGTTCGAGTTCCATAGATTGAACGGTACTCTCTTCCAACTTCGGTGGATCGGGTGGAGCCTCCTCTATCGGCACCGGTGCTGGCGAGGGAGTGCGGCTCTTCCTATTGGCGATTTTCGCGACGACGTCTTGCTTCTTAGTCTGCACCCTTAAGTCCAACGGCTGATCAGTCGTTTCCTCTTTCGGGGCATTCACGGTGTTCTCGTTTTCCACCTTTCGTTCGTTGCCGCGGGTCGCTTCCCTCCTCTTCGTAGGGTCATCGTCGCTCTCCGGGGTCGGTTGAACCGGAGGTCTAGCCGGAGACGGCCTGAAGGTAGACGTGGCCTCCTCCGCCGTGGAAGGAGACACCTTGCTGTGTTGCGGCAACACTCTGGGAGGTGTGAAGCGTTCTTTCTTGGGACTGTCGCTCCTTTTCTCGACTTCCTCGATCTTCGGCGGGAAGATCAGAGGCGTATTCAAAAAATTCGGAGCGTTAGGAAAGATTCCCGGGTATGGGGTCATCAGGCTAGGCGCGTAGAAGGGCAAGCCGCCCGATAGGCTCACGGGGGGTCGTTGGTACACGAGAAACGGACTTGTCGCTGGCGTCGGTAGCTGCGGCATGCTGCCGGGCGGAACGGTCGGTGTGGTGGAGTCGCAAAATCGCTTGTGCTTCGACAACGATGTCACCGTGCTGAACGATTGGCCGCACTTGACGCACTTGATTTGCATGCGGCAGTCGGCGTGCATGCGCTTGTGCCGGCACAGATTGGAGAACTGGGTGTACGCTTTGAAGCAGACCTCGCACTGAAACGGCTTCACGCTGCTGTGGATGTGGGTGTGCTGCTTCAGGCCGGAACTAGTCGCGAAGGTCTTGCCGCACTCGGTGCACGCGTGACTCCTTGCACCCACGTGATGAGTTCTGATGTGACGCTGAAGGTTCGACGGGTCCGTGAAGACCTGCCGGATGTTCGACTTTTAGCGATATTTTGAAGATGTTGTCGGCTTGGGAAGAGAGTTGTCTGGTCGCGGCGGCTCGGGCGCGAGCTTGGTACTTACCTTCGGGCAATTCTCGCAGGGATAATTGCGCAGGTCGCCGTGCACGATGGCACGGTGCCGTACCAGAAGCGGCCGCCAGGCGTAGGCACGGGGACAGCTGTCGCAGCGGTGTTGCTCCGCTGGGTATCTGTGACAGGTCACCAGGTGGCTGTCCAATCTGAAAGTGGAAAAGGACGCGAACGTGTAATCAGATGCACTTTTCGTGAGAAGATAAATTAGTCGATATGAGAGATTACGAAATGAATATATAATAGCCGATTGCGTCTACAAAGATAACGAGTCATAAATAACAAGCGTTTTCGCGGAGAGCGCGTAGCTCACCACGGTGCTTGCCCTCCGAGATCCGCTCGGGATAAATTCTCGCGAGATCAATGACGATAACTTGCCGGCGGTATTTGCGTTGCCCTTCATTATTCTACATCTCGGCCGAAGTTTAATCCGTTTAATCAATCCGAGAACCGGCCCGGGGTGTGACGCGATAACCGACCTGTGCACCGACAAAGACTGCGCCGGGCGCGCAGTCTCGGATGATGACTAAGTGACTTTGGCTGCACGGCGGCAGCGGCGGCGGCGACGACGGCGGCAACGGTGACGGCGAGTCGGCTCTCGTGTAATAACGGTCGCACGCCCCTGAAGAAGAGGGCGGCCATCGCGCACGAACACACACCGTCACGAAGAAAAGCCCGGGGGTGTCCTGGGGGCGGTTGTCGCGGGGTAGGCACGGGTTATCGTCACGCGGGATGCCATGGTGTGCGGCCGGTCGGCATTGATTTTGCACCCCCGAACACACGTGTCGTGTGAAACCCATTCGTGGTGAGATAGTGCCTTCATGGTGACGGTGTGCCGTACCAGATGAGCTGCGAGCACGCGACGCCTCCGATGATGTATACGAGGGGGGAGAGGGAGGAGGGTGGTTTTAGCGCGTCCGCGATTGCGAATCCTGGTTGGAGTTTAACGCCCCACAACAGGTGAATTCACCTCTTAACGGCGACGCGACTCGATGTCACTCGAGGAATCGGATTCTGTGTATCCGTGCTTCGGTGTCGGAGAGACGAAAACTCGGTAGATTACAATCGGTCCAATATCTGTTGCTATCGGTTGATTAATTTATTTCATTCAATAATTTGGTGGATCAATAATTTGCCGAAATCTACATTATCCCTCCATTATTCTAGTTGCACTTAACGTAAGTTAATACCGTTGAAAGGGGTGTCTTCAAGTCGTGATTGTGTTTGTGCTATTGCAGACAAAGTCGAACGCAATACGACGAAAATTAACGAACCGGTTGAACAAGAGCGAAGCGAACCTGTTAATGGAAGTTGTCGAGAAAAAAACGGCACTGTTTGTTTTCTATTATAGTGCACTTTCGAAAAATCGGGCGCGACTAGACTGAAGTGAACAAGGCGGCTATTAGAATTCTGCTCGTGGGAAAGACGCGTCTGAGTGGCCCGAAAGCCATATGCCGGATATGGACGGTAGTAGTGTTTGATCTCGCGTTGTACAGCGATAAGCAAGTAAATACGAGACCTTCGTTCGGAATGGATTGCACCTCTATTGCTGGAGAAACATACGATATAACGTGCGTCATTGTGTGTGTTGTGCACTTGCGATTAATGACGCATTCAGCACCCAACACAGCGAATTCACAATTGCACTTTTACATATCGCTGAAAATCTCCCAATAATTCACGAAGAGCAGCATATATATCACACTCTCGGGGTCCTTTCTCCACTCACAGTCACTTTACACTAATTACCCCCTAATTAAAGGCAATGACATGGCCGTGGGGCAGAATGTAGGCTGACTAAGCATCTTAATCGTAGCGGAGAGTCTTGAAGAAATTTTCAGGACTCCTAAGAGCAGCTCTTGGAACCGTTCGCGTGACAGAAGGCTCTTTCGCGAGCGCGTATCGCTGACCCCAAGATTTGAAGGCGATTACGTGGCGCTCACCCCTGAATTCCATCGATTAATTAATAATTGACGACGAGAATCGATGAACTCGGCGTACGCTTTAATGTCGCTCGACTATGATAGTTGTTGCCTTCATTTTTTCCACTCTTTCTCTCTCGATTTCGATCCGACACCGCAGGTATACGACGTGTCGACTTTGCCGGACACGTAATAATCGCCGATCTGATTTCAACAGCGCATAACGATGCGCCATGAATCCTTCATGAGCCGCGCTCTGTATCGTCACGCTTAACGACGATTCGTCGGATAATGAAATGCGTGGAAACGCGGTAATAAAGGCGTCATTATACGCGCGATTACGTGTGCGAAGGAAAAATTGAGCGATCGTGAGCGGGAAAAGCTGATCGTCTTGAGTCTTACGCGCATAAATAGTTTTTATCAAAACTGAAATGAATTATTTTCTACGAGATAGTATATTTGAATGGTTTATACTTCTTTTATACGTTTGTAAATTTCAAGTGAAAAGCGTCTGAAATAATAATTGATTTTTTCGAGCGATCTTTTCGAAACATACGAACGCACAATTACTCGTCGCGCACTTTCTGACGTTTCGCGAATGGATAAAGTAAGAATGGATAGAATGACAAGAGCTTACAATTCGATATCTTGAAACGGCTTGTCGCAGACGGTGCACCTCGTCTCACCCTCCTCTTCGTCCTCCTTGTCCTCGTCGACGGTTCCGCTGTGCTGCGAGGCTGTAAATGACGAATACAGCACAGATCACACAAGTGTTTGCGACGCGTGCCGGCAATAGAGCGGTACAGGCAAAAGTTGCAATTCCGTGTCGGTTATGTGCTCGTGTATATAGACGTATTATAAGTGTATGTGCGCGCGCGCGACTGGCCATAGCTCTATAAATTACAACCCCCTGCGAACGATGATACGTGACCCGTCGCGATGTGGGCGAATTACGTGATCCAGAAGCCGCGCGAGGGCCACAAGAGTGGCGTGACAAGTGGAGGCTCGTGGATGGTTGCTGAATTATTAAATTAAAACGTCGGTATCGTCCTCGGTATACTAAACAACGAAGTCTTCGATGTGCCTTGATTCGACGATGATTTAACTAACTCGCGGAAAGCATAGCGACTATTTACGGTGGATTCATTTCTAATACCACCACACTGTTCCCCCGCCTCTCTTCGCGGTTACAACATTTATGTCATCATATACTTTCGATTGCGCGCGGCATAAGTGCGTTCAAATTTCTCTATCGAGCCAGACATTTTTCATGAATTATTTTACCTGAATTTACTTGAAACGAATTTACTTTAGAATTTATTCAAACTGCACACATGATTTGAGTTGCATTCGTGTTCCTTGATGGCGAATTAATTTAGAAAAATGTCCAGCAATTTTCTACAGTCGTTTTAATCGGATCTAACGACGGATCGTTATTTGGCAAAATAATTTACCGTTTCAAATTAGCACCTCGCGATCGAATGTTTCTATTATTTAACAAGTTACAACTTCGTGTTGCAAAACGAACGTGTTCACAACGCGATTCGATTCACTATCACTCGTCGTCTTTTCCTCCTCGGCAAATACGACACGGCGAACAAGCCATCGCGATGACAATAGACACAATGATGCACCAGTTAGCTGGTGGGTACACCGTCCAGTGACTGCAAACGCAAGCGGGGGCGTCCAGAATCGCTCGCGATTGGTACAAGCGACGTTGGGGAGCAGCCAATCGCAGGTGAGTCTCGGCAACCCCCTGTGGCGTTTCACTCCCGAATATCAGCGCAGGTAAAATCGAAAACTCACGGTGGAGACAGGGTGCAATTATTAACGATTGAGCGCGCAGCTAGCATCGGTGTTAACGGAAAAACTTCATGTACAAAGCATTGAGCGTATTGTTTTTTTTTTTTTTTAATTTGTTTATTGCAATCGAAGCGCACCGTTGAACGTGCGTTGATCGCGTGTCTTTAGGGAAAAACACTTCGTGAAAAGAAGTCTCTCTCAAGCAGACGTTTGAAGCATAATTTTAGGCGGATTTCAATTAAAAAGTTGTTAACTAACGAATTGTTCAAGAGAGCGGCCAGACCCTTACCGGACTCGCGATTCGCCTCGAGTTTGAACGATACCCGACCTCCAACGGTTATTTAAATCTGCCGCTACACTTGTTCCGACCATATGGTCGAGTGATGGCCCCCAACGGACCTTCATGGGAACCGGGCACAACCCCCGTGCCACCAACTACGCCCAACGCCACGCTAACCCTCTCTTCCCCTCCTTCCTTCTTTAGTACGTTAATCGTTTCTCTCTCCACAGCTAATTCGCAGCGGCACGCCGTGCATTTAGACAATGAAGGATGCGGTCGACTTCGAGCTCTCCCTCGTAAAAGCGTCGCGCGAACATGGTGTTCGAAAAATAGACCCGACTTTAAGAACGCGACGAAAATTTTTCGATCTCTCGTTAAATGTGCGACGGTATATTTGTGACGAGCAATAGTGCGATAAACTAACAATTTTGGAAGAACTATAAAAATAAATAATCCGATCAAACGATAAAAATTCCGAGAAACAGCATGAATACAGTTTTCGAATAGAAATTTGTTACTGAAGATATAAACAAGAAAAATATTTGTACCTAGATATCGATTTATGTAATAAAAGAATTTTTATTATGTGAGAGAGAATAAAAAAAACCTGGAAATCGTAGATTTTATGAACATTGGACGATATTGACACGCACGTTTCTATTATTTTCAACGTTTTCAAACGTTTCAACGTTTAATTAGGCAGAGTTTAGAAGGAGGATTGTAGCGTGTGAATTAAGCGCGCCGCAAATCGTTTCCAAACCGTTTCTCCGGGATTAATGAAAACGGTTGAAGGTATTATGTTAATCTACCGCGCAGGGAAGGAATACGAACGAAGTCACGTTGCGGAAAGTCAACAGGTGGGATTCACTGGCAACACCCCCCGCGTTCGTTCGAGTAGTCAGTTGGCAGTTACATGGGAAAAAGTAACGGAAATCAATGTTTCGGTCGCATCGTGACGGCCACGGTTCAAAACCACTCGGAACTCGCGAATGGAGTTGACGAATATTCTAAAGTAAAATCAGTCGTCGCGAGTTTCTGAATCTTTGCTCCTTCGTTGACAGCGCAGACGATTTAACATTCTTGACGGGCAGGCTTACCTTCGGCGCGCGTTTCTCCAGAGACGAGACGAACGGGGCAACGGGAAAAATCGATAATCGCTCGTATCTTTCCGCAAAAATTTGTCGCACGCGACCGTAGCGATTTCGAATCAAACGTCAAATAAACGTGTCATTAGTCCGATGAATCAGATGGGGTTGCGTAACGCGTCACACGCACCTCCCTATAGAACGCTGCACGTCGCCACCACCCCCTCAGGGAAAGAGTGTCGCGTGCCCTTTTGTGCGCGGATACCCCTTTTTTCCATCCCGAGTCGTGCCCCTCCCTTTTTTTCGGCTGCCCCTGAGACCTGGTTACGCGCGTGTTAATCGACAATAGTTAGCTATAAATTATCCGCAGCCCTAATAGAGCTATCGGGAAACATGGCGGGAAGGACACAGACGCGTTTTTCGGGCGCCAGAAAAACGGTGAAGGATGGCAGGAAAAACAAGCTCCGCGGAGAATCACAGCCATAATTCATCGCGACTGCCTGCGAGCAATTGCATCTGCGATTTCGCCGCAACGATTCACCGATTCGCGGTGTGTCAGTGCGGAAAATGTCTGGGAAAGGCGGTTAGCGTACGTAATCGTGTGTCCGCAAACGTGAAGTTGCTTTCGACTCGACCGATTAGTGTACTAGTGAGATCTATTTTAATATTTCTATACATTTTTCCATTTCTTCATTTAGTCATTAAGATATCTTCAGTGGTTACTGTAATACAATTCTAGAGATGCAATGTCAATATTAGCATAAAAATAGAGAAAAACATGGCAAAAGAGATCGATGTCTATAAAAAATCAGTTTACTGATAGCGGGGAAATAGATCTACTAACGCGAGCATATCCTCGAGACGTACAAACGTCCGAGATTGAGTTGACATTCAATTCTCGGTCGGACATTTACGCGCACCCCACGTAGGCGTGTTAAAACGACTCGTCGTGTGTCCTTCTCTGTTCGCCCTCCCTCATCCTCTATCTCTGTCCGCGGAAAAAAATGATCCGACCGAGAGGGAGAGACGCGGCGCAGATGCCCCCTTAGCAAGGGTTGGAACAGAGCGCGCATCGTTTGTTTGACATCATTATTCCCGCTGCTGTGCACGCACCAGCTTGTCGGAGAGATTCCCCCGTAAAAATGGCTTTACTTGGATTAACGGTGACGCCAGCAGCACTCTCGTGCCGTTTACAGTCGGTATTAATCTCCCTTAATGCGAAATAAGCGATGTACTCGCCGAGCGGAAAACAGAGATTTGTCGAGTCGGTGGAGTTCGTCGACAATCTCCTGATGGCGTCGCATATGACATAGGTAAATAATAAATAATACGAATAGCTTTATACTGATCTCGAAACAGAAGGAAAGAAAGGAAGAAAATTAAACAACAGTACAGAATGTCTCGAGTGATGGCGCGGAATCGGTGAATCATTTGACCACGAGTTACAAATCTCCTTTAGCAAAACCTCGCCACTCGTCATTAATTATAGCAGTTTCTTATTAATAAGGGCAATCATCGGTCTTCGATTCCTCGAGAGGTGTCTAATCGAGGAGCAACCGCGTCGCGTATAAACGGACGGACTAACTAATGAAAATTCTCCCTCATCGTTTCGCCGGCGGAAAATTTAATTACGAACGATTTCGTACAACAGCGTGTCTTCCGTGCGCGCGAGCGACGACGACGACGACGACACGTTTACGAGCACCCCGAAATTATGACGAAAAACTGTCGGCGAATTAGCCGTAGACTCTGCGACGGCGGAACTTCGACAATAAGCCCGGTTTTAATTACCGCGACATCTGGGTGTCGGCGTATAAACCCTCCGGCCCTAATCCGGCCCTACCAAAGTCGTCATCCAGACTCTGACCATCGCGCAGAAGTTACAACCAGATAATTGTCGAGCAGTCAGGCACGTAGACGCTACCCTTCTTCGTTAAACGCCTCGAATATATTAACGGCGCAATGGTCCGCATAATGAAATCCAACGATCGATTAACTAAATTAAGCGGGCAGATTGAGTGTTGGGCGTTTTGCGCGTTGGTGGCCGATATTTGCCTCAACATTGACACCACGAAGAGTCGAGGATTCTCTCCATGATAAAACTAATTTAAATGCCAAAAAACGAAATGCACTTCGAATCAACTTGAATCAACAAAGAAACTAATTGTACTAAAACTACACTAACAACACCCTTGAGCTGAATCGTATGTATTCGTATATAATTTTACGTCAATAATTATATTTTTTTATTTTTATTAGACCCACGGAACACACATAACATGAGTAGTGAACAAGCTGACCAACCACAGTCGATTATTCTGCTTATGGTCCAAGAATAATCGACTCTGCTTAATGAATTTACTCACTGCTTACGCTTTTGTGTATACCGTGGGCCTTGACGCGAATTTTTATTGAATAACGCGTTTAATTATCCGACAGAGGACAAAACGACGTGAAAATACCGCGACGATCACTGCTCGAATATTTCGCGTCGGCCGACGAGAAAGATGGTGCCTTCTACAAAAGTCGAAGCAACGCGCGCGACACGGCGACATGTGACGCGGCGAACACGTCTATCCTGCTGATAATCAGTGCTTATTAACGGACGGGAGTTAATACGGCAACGGCCGACCAGGTGAATCACGCCAAAGTCAAGGGTGCATGACGAGCCAGCTCGTGCACACAACGATCCACGATTTACCCTCTGCCCGCCCCCAATTCGTCGTTTCGGAAAACACCTGCCCTTGCCCTTCATTTGCGTTCGTACGCGTGATTGTACGCGCACGAGCCGCCGGCGTGTGCGATGCGTATCGGTACAGAAAGTCATAAAGCCGTGCCGAAATGATCGTGACATATCTCGCCGACCATCTTAATATTATTTTACTTTTTACTCTCTTCGTGTGTGTCTGTATTAATTAGATGAGTAATAGACAGAACAGACAAATGGATAATAGACAGAAATACCAATGTCTTTTTTGCAATAAAAAGCGAAATGAAAATAGTGCACTTTCTAATTCCGTCTTTGTGCGACTAGACACACTCACCGGTCTCGCGATCGCTCCTGTCCTCGGTTGTATTTTCGCCCAGCATGTCCTGCAGCTGAAGCGGCTCACGAAGACCCAAAAGTAGCTCTTCGCCGGTTGTGATGTCGCGAACGGCTTCGTACACCATCTGTGATCATCGAGATAGATACTCTGTAACGCTCGGACTTTGATTATTTTGATTGTGCGTTGCCCCAAATAAAACTTAATTCTCATCATACTACATGATAATTTCATGATAGGATAAATTTTATTTGATTAAAAAAAGGAGGATTTTTCTTTGTTCTTTTAGAAGACATCCAAGAATGAGTAAAGATCATGGAATATCAATTCTAGCAAACAATTAGAACTAAAAAAAAGTCAGAAATTGAAATCAAAATTTCTAATGTTGTACCAAGGATTAGAGTTCCCTTTTAGCGAAAATGACGAACAATTAGGAATAAGAGACGAGAATAAAAGAGGAAAGGAGTAGACGCGATATTGACTGCTCGGGCGTCGTTTGCGCGCGCGTTTAGGTTTCATCGGAAAACCTCCTCTCACATAATTTTCACACATGGACCCCGGTAATGTCGGGGAGCCATGAAACGATCTTTATAGCGTCGTGACGGGGCCCGAAGCATCATTACGATAGCGATTCTGCAGGGCACTGATAGAGAGAAAGAGAGAAAGTGCCACGTCCCCCATTCCCACAGCGATTGCGAGAGGGCGTATAGGAAGTCAGCGAAACGACCCCGTGGGGTGACTTAATAACTAAACACCCTGTATACATGTAGCTTACGCCGCGCCCACAACATTGCGGATACCATGTGCCATGGTTCACAGAGAAAAAGAGAGAAAAGAAGGAAAGACAGAAAGGGAGAAAGGGCCAAACGGACAGGAGCATGAGCTCGACCCTAAATTGACACCGTGACCTCCATCGTTTCCGCTTATAACGTCTATTCGCCGACTGATCGTGTGCGAGCGCTCTTCTCTTAAAGACGGGTAACGGCAAAAGATCATTTTTACTTTCATCGAGTAGTTTGGGACTGTGATGAGACTTCCATCTTGATCGCAAATCTTTTTTACCTCTAGAAAAGCTCGTCGAGGCGAGAAACCCCGACATTATCGGTAGTGTCGACGGACACTGAGAAAGAATTTTATAGTAAAAATTACTACAGAATTTTGTAACCGAATAATAGATCGACATCCTGCAATAATTGACTCTCGTATGAACTATTTATATTTTAGGAACTGAAAAGTGCTGTTAAAAAAATTTCCTAAAAATGTCCTAGAGAAGTTACACACTACGTTCTTTAGCAAAATAAATTTTACTGAAAGTTTATTCTTCTACTAATACTAGTATTAGAAATTATTCGAAATGTAGTATAAAGTTGAAAAGAATTTATATGAAAAAAGTTATAACTTTTTCGTATATGGTTGTGTCGCGATTCTCATTCCGCGTTGATTAAATAGCAGTAGAAATAGTGGAAATCGCGACCGATGGAATGGTATTCGGCGATCGCGTGGTCTTTAAAGACTTTTACGCACGTGCTACGGGAGGTCAATCGTTCAAGAAGCGGATGGGACATGCGGAAAACAATAAGAGTTTCCTGCGAACCTGCTAGCGAGGCTTTTTAACGGGCGATAACATATGCAGAATCAATTGGAGACTGCGCTTGGCGCCGAGTAATTATCGTTTCCTATTAACTGCAACTGTCGATCGAGTGTCAGTTGCGTGTAAACGTTTGTTAAATCGAGGGTGAGTCACAGAGTAGTTGCCAAGCGTCTGTTTGGAGAGGGTTGTTTGTTCATAACGATACGAATAATTCCACAACTCCCTCGTATCGTCGTTACGTCAGTAGTGCACTAAAAACTATATTTCTCTCGATTAAAAGAAAAATCCATAGAGTTGCGGCTCAACCCTGTATTTCCCTTCATTATCTCTGATACTAAAATAAGTAAATCCTGAATAATTAATGATAATTTTGCGGTATCTCCCTGACTTGTCGATAAAACTTTAATGCGAAGTGATGTTTCCCGTGCACGCCATCCCGGCGAGAACACGAGGAACGGATTTTTTTTGTTTCTTTCTTTTCATAAACCATTCGGATCGAAAGTGAAGATCACAGATGTCGATTAGCGACACCGATAATTCTCACACCTCGGCGAAATTATCTGATTAACGGTCTGTACGCGTGTCTTCGTGCCACACGGTAAAATAGATTACGAAACGAGTGATCGTTCCCGCTGATTGGTGCAGTTATCTCACGGCTATTGTCTATTTGGGTTGTTGTTCGCTCCTCGTGTGATGTAACTGAATTAAATTGAAGTCGCTCGGTCGCACAACAGGAAGAATACCATCTGTTTATCGCGTAGTATATCGACGAAATATATCGGTATCGCTAACTAGGAACTCTCAATCGTGCCGGCTGATTAGCGGATTTTCGTTACCTGGCCGCCGATGAGTACGTGCCGCATGTTCACCGCGTGCGGGCTGGCGGTGCTGCGGATGTACTTGAGCCAATTGTTCGTCTCGTGCGACGCGTCCAGCCAGCCTCTTACTCCGCTGCCCGATATGCGGACCTGGAACACGCGTAATAATCTCATGAAAATCGCAAGAAATGGCAGTATAAAGGTTCAGGTGCAAGTACAAGAAGCGCGGCCATTGCGAGATTCATTTCGCGCGGGTCGATAACGTCACGTTAGCGTACGTGAGGCATCGCGGATAATCAGCCCGAGTCGAAATTTTGACCCTATGTTGAACCTTGAATTCTACACCGCAGTAACCGGAGCTAAAATAGCAAAATAGGTTTAGTTCTAATGATATAATTTACTTCTACTTTGACTCTGATGATGTCTGAAATTTTCGCTTTCGCTTTCTTTAGCGTCAAACTAGGTTGTATAAAGTAGGATCTTAGGAAGCAAGGTAGGTTTAGTTGCAAATCTCTATTGAAGCTTTAGTTCCTACATAGAATATATGTAAATATTTTATAGAACTATTTAAAAAATTTAAGAAACAACGAAACAGAGACGTCAAATAGCATACAAAATATACATTTTATTTGTTGCATATATTTCAGGCATCATCAGAGTCAAAGTAGGAGTAAATTATATCATTAGAACTAAACTTATTTTGCTATCTTAGCTCTTACTGCGGTGTAGAATTCAAGGTTCAATATAGAGTCAAAATTTCGATTTGGAAATGAGTGTCAATATCGTCAAAATAGGTTTCATTTAGATTGTAGATTATCTAAGTAGGCTCAAATTATTTTTAAGAACGTCAAATTAGCGTCAAAATTTTGACGAAGATAGAGTTAAAGGTTCAAAAGAGAGGTTAATGAGTATCAGTATCGTCAGAATAGGTTTTACCGAGATTATAAACCGTCTAAGTAGGCGCAAACTATCCTTAAGAGCGTCAAAGTAGCATCAAAATTTCGACTGGGATGATTGCCTGAACTCATTAACCTCTCTTTTGAACCTTTAACTCTACCTTTATCAAAATTTTGACGCTAATTTGACGTTCTTAAAAATAATTTGAGCCTATTTAGATAATCTACAATCTAAATGAAATTTTGACGATATTGACTCATTTCCGAATCGAAATTTTGACTCTATATTGAACCTTGAATTGTACACCGCAATAAGAGCTAAGATAGCAAAATAGGTTTAGTTCTAATGATATAATTTACTCCTACTTTGACTCTGATGATGCCTGAAATATATGCAACAAATAAAATATATATTTTGCGTATCATGATTATCGCATCTTGTCAGTCGCAAAAACCATTCGTTTCCGCTCCTCTCCTCTCCGCTCCGCTCGGCAGCATCGCGCTCTCGCGTCTATGACCGAGCCCGATTGTCATAAACGGTAAAATCATTTTTCCGCCGAGACTTTTGGCCGACGTGCACGTGCGCGAAACAACACGTAGACAGTGCGTGTTTCCGCCGGCGAGAGACCGCAACGCTTCGGATTCGGGACATTGCGTTTAACGGACTGTCGCTCACGGACACATCGGCCCACTCATCACCCTCGCATCTGCCCTGACTTCCCGCGCTCCGGCAGCATCCAACGTCCCTACTTTTAGGGCGGGACAAGTGATTTTTTTTCAATTGTCTACCGCGGTCCCGACACCACGCGACGCTTGACCGGCCAAGCGTCTCACCCCGACCGGAGCGTCGGCTTCGTTCCTGCGGACACCCCATTTGCCAACGGGAAGCTACGTAGCTTTCCTCGTCACCCACGTCTCACGCGGCAAATGCATTTTGCACGTCCACCTCGCGCGGGTCTCGTTGCGCGCGCCGTATTCAGGAAAATACTTTGACCGCGAACCGTTCGTTCCTTATCAGACAAAGTTGCGATTTTTGTTCAAACGAGATAAAGAATATATTTCTCGTGTTCATAAATTCACTATTCATATATTACAAAAATATAACCACGCTAATAAATGGCGATGCATTGTGCACAATGTGATGCGAAAACATATTTTTAAACGAAGACGTTATCATCACTGGCTGGGCCGAGACAGTTTTATAATTTTTGAGCTTATTGACACGTTCTTTATCATTATTCTTTATCATTGTTGAACTCTCCACACAGACCATTCCTGTATTTTTTCAATTGTAATTGTAATTGTATAAAACGATTTATTTATGTGAAATTGTTATGTGAGATTGAACAAAACAGGTTATAATTTAGTCATTGTTAATGTTAAGCGAGCTCTGACCGGTTGACTCACACCATCTGTTGGTTGTGAGAACAACTATAGTTATGACGATCAATAGAACTGTCAAGGTGGATAAAGTGTATAGGTAGGTGTACTCCACAGATAATCTCATTCAAAAAATTTTGTAAACAGTGGAAGATGTCCACCTTTGAGAGTTTACCTGAAGTGTTTATCCTGAGGTATTTTTATACCTGAGATGGTCATCTCTCTGAAATAACACGGATATTTTCGCGGACTGGATATTCTTAGATATTCTTTCATTCGCTATTGTAACACAATCTGACGTCCATTTTTCAAATTTGTCTAAACTTTTAATCTCATCATCTTTACTAAGATACATTGAGTCAATTACTGCGTACATTTTGCAATAAAGTTACTTACTTTCATTTCCCTAAAGCTAAATAATATACTTATTCGCGTTTATCGAATCACCACCGAATTAGAAATCGTAAAGATTTACATTTAGAAAAATGGACGTCGGATTATGTTACAATAGTGAATGAAAGAATATCTAAGAATATCCAGTCCGGGAAAATATCCGTGTTATTTCAGAGAGATGACCATCTCAAGTATGAAAATACCTCAGGATGAACAAAATTTGAGAGTTTACCTGAAGTATTTTCATCTTGAGGTATGAAAATACCTCAGGATGAAAATACTTCAGGTAAACTTTCAAAGGTGGACATCTTCCACTGTTTGAAAAATTTTTTGAATGGGATTATCTGTGGAGTACACCTACCTTCATGAGTCAATACGTTAAAAAATTATGATTAGAGCCTATCGAAAATTTGTAAAAATTATTGTTCCCAATTATCATGTTTAAATAAAAAGAAATAAATTTGCTTTTAAGTGAGTTTTCCCGAAGCATATCATCTGCTTTCGGTGTCATCATTTCGGGGAAACAATTTCAATACAACAAAGTGGAGAAACCCATAATAATTCACAGTAGTACAATAATAGATAACAAGACAGGTTACCACAAGGTTTGAAAAGAAACCCATGCTACACCATTCATCGATGATAAAATAGCTTCTGGTATTACTCGGATCTTCTCAGGATTCCAGGTGCGGAAATGAGCACAAACCTGCCAACCTTTACAATAGACTTTCTCACCGGGGCGAGATTAAGGTCCTACCGCTAGGCTTATGTCAAAGATGAGCCAATTCATTGAAAATTTTACAGCAGTAGCCGACTTTCTATGTAGTAATAAATTACAAAAAAAAATTTGTAGAAAATAGGAAAAAGAATATTTTATACAAAGAAATATTACATTAGCGAGAGAAAGAGAGAGAGAGAGAGAAAGAGACTACGATTTATATAATTTATTCTTCGAAAGAAATCCGAGAGAATCCTTCCTACTGCAATAGATATGTATGAATGCTGTTAGAATGTTGACAAAGGAAAATGAAGGCAATCGTTTGGAAGGATGTTTCCTTTGAATTCATTAACATCAACTTTGACTCGAAAATCGAACCAAACTTCTTGATTATTAAGGAAGAGTTGTAATCCATTTTGTCATATTTAATTAGAAACATTTTGTAACTTCAATTCAAAATAAATTTGACTACGATAATTCTAACGATAAAACGCGCTGTACTGAATTTCGGTGAAAGTGGATATTGCTAGATTATTCGTAAAAAAGACTACGTGAGACTACAAGATAAACTTGCTCGAATTAAGATAGAACGCAAGATGGAACATATTTAAAACAGATTCTTTTTTTGTTACTTCTCCGGTGCACTTTCGACATTTGTTACGAAAATTGAGACGTGGATAGGACAGAGAAATTTGTCATTCTGGCTTTAACGACCCTAAAGGAAGCTTTGCTGCTTTGTCGGCGCACGCGGACATGTGCTAACAATTCGTGGAACAGATTTGTCTAGCCGTGAATCTCGGTCGTGATCGTACCATGCCATTCTGCGCGGAACGGAAAATTATAATGCCGTGAATCGCACGATCGCGAGCACAAAACGTCTTAATAGGGCGTTCGGGGTCACAATAGAGATCTTTGTGATTTTGGAAATCTCGCGTCTCTCCCCCACACATGAAAAGAATCGATACCTAGCGATATAATTGATAAATATGTTCAACGACGAAAGTCTAAGCAACAAAGTATCATGCTGAAAAATTGTTACAATTGAAGATAAAAATATTTAAAATAGTGTGGAAAATTTTATATATATTTTTATGGCCAGAAATTCTTCTGTCCGAACATTCCTTTGGGTCTTACAAAAGTTGCACTTGTCTACGATATATCCGCGTTCACAATAAAAATCTGAAAACTCTACGAGAGTCGGATGAACTAAGATGTATCTGTGGGGTTATCTCTTTCAAAGAAGATTTTCATGCACGGCCAAGGAAGAATGAACGAAGCAGGTAATGATTTGCCACACAAATCGCACGGTCGTTTCTTTTCCTTTGTAACACCACACTTGTAACAAAACCAAGTTCGCAGCAGGTTTTCCTGCTTTTCTGCGTTACCCGAACCCAAAAAAGAGAAGCTAAAATCGGATCTTGTGATAGATTCTTGTGCATTCATGCTGCAAATGGTCCCTCATAATCGTCATTTCATGAGGAATATTGTCGTTGAAACTGGAAAGGGCAACCTTCTATCTAAACAAAGAATAATACGCAACCGAGACTTGGCGAAAACTTATACGTTTATTTGCGGGATGTTCGAACGAAATCTTCCGGAGCGTGTCTAAGTCGCAAACAATTCCGTTATATTTGAGCTCTTCATGGGTTGCGGTGCCGACAAAATATTTGTTTAATGTTTTTGTACCGTTAACTGAAAATATTTTTTGCGTTTATTATCGAAATTTGTATCGCGTGGCAAAGATAAATTCAAATGGAAAAAGT